GAAATCCTATCACCATTCTGAAAACTGATCCATTCTACAGGTGAGGTTTTCTGAGGTCCTGCATTAGCTTTGGGAGGTGAACATCAATCAAGAGATCCCTTCTGTAGCTTGAGCTACACTATCAAAGAATTAGCTGCCTTCCTGCCAGCCCTCCATGAGAAAAAAGCAATGCTATGCTAGGAGGGAAGTCCTCAATAGACATGGGATGAGGAACTTCTTGGGAAGAACTCTCAGTCATCACTGCACGAGAGAGACAGGCCAGGGGACTGGTCATTGTAGGCCTGTTTTCACAGGAAAGCCATGTGAGCCAGCCAGAATGAGGCCAACCCCTGGCAGGGGTTATGGGGACTGCAGAGGTGAAATAAAGACTCAAGGGGCTTCCTAGAAATTGAAAAAATGGGAAATGAGCCTGAAGTTGCCCATGTACGGCAGTGAGGATGGCTGCTGGTGTGAAACAAAAGACCTTGACAGACATGAGGTACAGTGCCTAGAGACAGAAGTGAAGACAGCTCTGTTTGGAATAACACCTCTATGACTTAGACACTAGAGATGTGGTTTTTCAGGACCCTATCTGTCCCGAATTTATTCAGATCTAATACCAGAGGTTATTTCCAAGAGAAACTTGAGGGATGGAGAACAGGTCATCCATATCTGTAGTAGTAAGAACAGGAGCAGGAGATGGACTGTGTTAGTGTGTTAGTGTGTTGTTTAAATGTTATCAGGATCTTTGGTGTAGCTTAGAATTGAGTCAGCTAGGCATCTCTGAAGAAATCTTGGGCATAGTTCAGGGGTTAGTGTAGATCAGGAGCTGTTCTTGGTACACATCTTGAACACAATCTTATTTTAGAGGCCAAGATGCAGTCTTCCATTTCACCAGAAAACTGTGCCTGGACTTTTTAGTTGCTGATATAAATGGAAGATTACTCCAGCCAGGCAGATTACTGGAGGCGGTTTCAAACATGGGTTACTGTTATATCCTCAGGCCTTTTCTGTCTAAGAAGCCACAGAAGTAGGTGGAATATGTGGTCCTTTGGTGTCATTTAACACTTACAGCTTATGGTCCTGTTGTAAACGTTGATTCAGAAGAAAGTGATTTAGCCTCATTTAACAGATTCAAAGCTGCAGAAGTTGAAAAGTTTTTTTTCTCTTTCACAAATACAGCTTATAGAAACCTTGTGCAGGGTATTTCCAAAATAACACCAAACATTTGTACATATTACCCTCTTCAGACTAACAAAACAAGAGCATTGTCAAGCTTTTATTGGATAAGTTAAAAAAGAAGAAGGAAAAAAATGTTGCAGAACCTCTGTGTTAATTCGACCTATTAGATTTCTGCATTTCCTTTGTGGTTTTGATCTGGGTTCTTTTAGACTCTTTCTTTAGGTAATAAAAAAAAGACCACAGTTCTGAGGAAGTAGCATATCTCCTTTTGGTTTGATAAAGCTCCAAAATCAGAGACATGGGGATCAACTGAATTGCTTAAAATTAGGCCTCAGTGCCGCAAGGAAAGTCCTGGGAATTTTTTCTAATACACCTGGATGAAGTCAGCCCTGTGTTGCCTTAACAGCTTTTCAAGCTGAATATAGGAAACTAACTCAAAAACATGGACTCTTCTCTCTGTGACTAATTGTGACGGGAGAACCTAAACTGATTGTGCATCTGTAACTACTGGAGGAAACAATGAAAAACAACTTGGGTTTGCATTTTTAGCACCATAGAGCTCATGGCTATATCTGTACAACTGAATAAAACAGGGGATTTAATGTACTGTTATGACTGCTATATAGAAATAGAAATAGATGTAGATATAGATATAGGTATAGGTATAGATATAGACATATAGATATACAGAGAGATAGAGATAGCGATAGAGATAGAGATAGAGATGATAGAGATAGAGATAGAGATAGAGATAGAGATAGAGATAGAGATAGAGATAGAGATAGAGATAGAGATAGAGATAGAGATAGAGATAGAGATAGAGATAGAGATAGAGATAGAGATAATGTATGTGTGCACTTGACTTCATAAATACAGTGTTGGGGACTGAACTGTCTCTATGCAGAACCACAGAGCCAAGGTGTGGAGTGTTACACACTTGTTTTGAAAGCATCAATCCTGTATTCACTAGCAGTCATAACAGTATGTATATATATATATACACACTAGATATATATAGTATGTATATTACACATATATGCATACTATATATATATGTAAAATTTGCAGTACTGGAACTGGAGGTGCTTATTGGTTGCCATTTTATCATTTAATCACTCACTATCAGGAGCTGCTTGTACAGTTCTTACAACTCAACTTTCAATCTTGCCATCCTGGACATTTTAATATCACCAAAATTGGTTGATGTTTTACCCATTCCCTTTTCCAGATCACTCAGAAATATGTGAGATCACACAAACTTATGTGTCTAAAAAGATTGCATGACTCAACGAGCTTAGAGTCAGAACCACAGAGAAAATCACTGTTAGTAACAATAGAAGATCACAGTTGTCGGTTTAAGAAGGCATTTATTTTTGTGTGTGAATAAAATAATAATATATATGTTGTTTCACATCCTTCAAGAGCTGCGTGAACCTGGGCTGATTGAACATCCAAACATCACCATGAGGTAGGCTGGAATAGGTGGCCAAGGTACCAAAGTGGCTTGTGTGTTAAAAGCAAAAAAGGGAGTGACTTCAGCAAAGAAAAACCTGGATCTTCAGAAGCAGTGTGTTAACAGAACATGCCCTCTGGAAGCTTTTTTCATGCTCATTTGAGTAGGCTTTAGAAAGAGGAGGAATCCATCAAAATCACCTCCTCACGGCAGTGGAAATGTTGCTGGTAGTAGGGTATTGACTCAGGAAAGCCTTCTCTTCTTACTCTGCCACAATCCTGTAAAGACAAGAAGGGTCTTGTTATTTTGCTGAAGTGTAAATGAAACTCAGTCTCTAAAAGCCTCAATACCTGCTAATTACCTTTCAGAATATGCGTACAGAGTGGGCTCAGCCACCTACAATTAGATGCCTCCATGGAAGGGTCCCTGTGTGTGCTGAGTGTCTAGGTCTGCAAGTATTCAATCCTTAAGAGCTATGGTCACTGGCACACTAGTTATATTACCACTAATAATGAAATTTTAATTTGGCTCACCCCAAAATAAAGACTGGGGATTTGACTGAGTTACTGAACCACCCAAGTCTGGTGTCATTTGAAGAGTTCTGGGGTATCTGTTTGGCCTTCACCCATCTTTTTTGAAAAGCAGTGTTTTCCTGTAGTTCATGAGCTATCTCAGCCAGACATGTATATATATGTATATTTAAACACTTCAAGGCACTTCAAATACCACTAAATAGCTCAACGTATCTTTACTGAATCAAACTCTTTGCATCCAATTTAAAAGATTTCTTTTCAATCAACTCAGCAGATTGAATCCTAAGCTGGAAAAAAACCTGCTTATATTGTACCTCAGAATACCCTGTTGGTTTCAAATTCTACTGTTGTATTAATCAACCCAGCTGAAAATCTAAAATCCAAATAAGGAAGAGTTTTAATCTTGGACATTAGCACCCATCAATATCACATATGGGTACACTCTTCTAAGTAAGAATATTTCTATAGAAAAATTACACCTGGAAGCAAACTCAAGAGGTCTTGTTCTTTTCCCAGCCCCAATTCTCCTTTAATCATGCTTTATAGATGTTCTCACAGAAATCTGAAGACCTTCCATCTGCTCCTACCAGACTGTTTGCTATCAGTAGAAATTGCTTTGTAAAGAGAATGATCATACACAGAAACTGAGGAATCACATCATTCCTTTCTAAAACCTTCTAACAGTGTGTTGCTTCTGTACCATCTACTTCCCTGAGTTCCTAAGTGGATGCTTCTTTTGCATCTTAATCTTGCAACATCAAACCTGTCCCATTATTGGTATGATTTGGGTTTTCTGAAACCACCGACTGACCGACATGGGTATCCACATGCTGACCAAATGCTATGAAACCTTCTCTCTAGAGCAGTCTCATCACACTTTCTTCAGTCTCTGGGAACATTTAAACCCTGGCAATTCTATAAGCAACAGAATAAAGAATTCTGGAAAATTCAGAAAATAAGGATCTGAGCTCTCCCTTTGTTTTGAACCAGGCTCTGTCCAGTCACATCAGTGGCTGAGGATCTGCCTGAACGTTTCTTGTTGGGATGAGTTATGTCATCACAGCTGTTCTTTTCATTCTAAAATGCAGGAACATCTCCTCATTTCACACTGAATTGAGTGTGTGTGGTAGTCACTGCAGCTGGCAATAATCATCACGTGGCCATCAGCAGGACAAAACTGCTATAGGAATTAAATGCCTGGGAGTATGTTCTATCCTAAGCTAAAGTGCGTTCTTCAAAAGTGTGTTCATAGCCTTAAAGAAGGGAAAAATCTTTCTATAAGGGAAAATCCAGACATTATTAGAAAGTCATCTCAAAGACAAAAGTGAGATGCACACTAGTTGTCTCCAGTCACTAACAAATTCACTCTTCTTCACCTTTCTAAGAACGGAACAGTGTTGGGAGGAGAGATGGGAAAAGAATGAGAAGCAGAATTTTGTGAACATGCTTCCTCCCTTAAAATTCATTTTTCTAGGTCATTTTGAAAATAAAAAGAGCAAAGGGGGAGACATTGTGTCCCCTGATGGGTGAAAATACGGTGAAGTAATTTCCTAACAGTTTTTTGAAAAAACTTCTTTTTTCTTCCCATCACAATTTAAAATAAAGCAAAACACACTGATTTATGCAAAATTTTGACCTTCCTTTTACTCTCACACATAACTACCATAAAATTCAATTGCCTCCTTAAAAACACATCTATGATGTGTGAACACAACAACCTGCTCATCCTCCATCTGTACTCCTCACAAATGGCTGCCCTGCAAGCCCTACAGTCTTGTGCTTATTATTCAAGGAACTATCAGATAAAACAGCAGGACAAAGATGCCTTCTGATGCCTTTCAGTCCTGTGGCACTTACCTTGAGCAGCATCTCAGCAGTCCCCCATGGCATGACCCTGAGACAGTGAAGGTGGGTGGGCATGAGCCAGCACGGCAGAAATTTCCCTGGTTCCTGCACTCTGTGGTGTCAGGAAAAAGGGAATCTGTGGAACCTGTGGGAAGTGGAAGATGCTAAAACATCAGTTTTCAGTCTAAAATTCATCCTTCTCTAAGAACGATATTATTTATATCCTAAGATGCTCTCTAAGGAATAGTGCCATTATGAGAACAGGTGTTCTCGGTCCCATCCACTGAACAGCAGCATCATCACATCTTGCCTGTCAGTTGATGGTTGCTTGTCTTCACCTCTGCTTACAAGCCCTTTTGTAGGATTAACTTTGCTTCTCACCTGAAGAAGCCTGGAAGAGAAGGAGGACAACAGCAAAGAGAACATAGAGGATCCTCATGGCTGCCGGTTGATTTTTTGGCTTCGTGCTCCTGCAAAGTGCCTGAATGACCAATGGAGGATGAAGGTTGGTTGTGGAAGAGGCTAGGAAAGGTACCTGGTATTTATAGGGCCAGTGGAATTGTGCAAGTTTGACATCTGAGTGCTTTGTCAATAAGTAACAGCAAAGAACCTTCTGGAAAGCAGGGTGGTTATCTCCCTTATCGGAGGTTGCAGTGAAATGTGCAGTGAATGTGTTGCAATGCCCAAGGGTGAATATCCACTGACCATGTCAGTTACACAATGGGACCACCAGCCAAGCCCACTGAGCTGCACCCATTGCCTTTAACACAGGCATGGGGATGGGTTAGGAAGAGGGCTTGGGAGTCAGCCACTGCTGGAGTCTGGTCCCAGTGTTGACCCTGGATCCGTCACTCACTGACAAGTCACGTAACATTTGTCTCCATCTGCCCATCACTGGCACCAGGAGGATGACGTCAAAAGCATTGGGAAAGATCTGATATGATGCAACTTTGCTTCATCACATTTTAAACAGGTTTCAGGGTATCCTCACCCACTGCAGAGGGCTGATACAAAGCTCTCTCCCTCCTTTAATTCTCACTTGTGTACCACCTTGAGTGCTTTGCATTTCGACCAACTTTTGACATCTTTTTGTTTACCCTCACATTGCCCAGAAGGTTGGCATAATGGGCTGATTTCATGAGAATCTCAGCAGACATAATGCCTCAAAGAGCAACATCTCCTAGGGCTTCACTTCAGAACATGATCCACATGGACGTAAATTTTCTGAGAAGCACCAGTTAGGGGACCAAAGCACTGAATGTTCTCCTTCATCAGACACTGGGCCAGATGTCAAATGGCAGCAACAGCTTTGCATCCATGGGAATCCTCCCTTTGCCCTGATACTGGCACACATAATACACAGGTCTGTGTCAAATACCAGGCGTTTCTGCAGCTCCTAGCTCTGACATTCTGGTTCAGCAGTTTGCTTCCTTATTACCTTGTTTATTATATTCAGCCCAGAGTTAATGGTATTTTTGTTCTAAGAATTATTTACAGGATGAAAACATTACTGATGTTTATGTTTAATCTGCATACTAACAGGCAAGCTTAAGCAGCTGAGAAACTAACAAGGTGAGTTACTTAAGTGTTTATGCAGCAAATAACAGTTAGATAAACACTGATTTCCCTCTTCCACCCATAAAATCTAATTAGCCAGAAAATGCCAAGCACTCCAGAATGTCCTTTTTTGTACCCTTGCCTTGGAAATTATCTCTTCTTTTTTGCTGGCAACTGATCCACTATCCCTATTTTTAATACAGAGGATGGCTGAGTTGTCACTCCCTTCTTTACTCTTTCATTGCCAGTAGGGTACCCCAACAGACTCCTGACCTACAACATGAATGTGAACAAAGCCCTTTTGTTTTTATGAAGACCCATTGAAGTGTGGATTTTCCCCACCTGTCTTTCACACAGACAGGGCAATGGTGTTGCGATGTTTTGCAATGGGAAGTGTGGGTTTTGAGCACTCCTTGCTCCCTAAAGAAGTCCACGTTAGAGAGGAGCTATGTTTTCCCCAGCTAAAATCAGAATGTGGTACAGGAGAAATCTGTGACTACTCTTTGCTATCGCACGCTCTATTTGAACAAGCTTTGCTTGCTTTCAGGGCTGTACTGTTTTCCACCTGTGGAACAGAATAGATCTATTACCCAAGCCAAATTCTTTAATTTCAGCAGTGCAAACTGCCATAGCACTCACAGATTTTGCTGAACAATCTCATTTCTTGCAGAAGGAAATCAGCCTCCTGGGAAATTGAGCAACATTTTAAGCCCTGCTAACACAGGCAGCCTGAAAATGTTATTCAGAGCAATAGAAAAATTCCATTACATTGGCGCCTGGTAAAAACAAAGACAAGTGTAATCTGATCGCTTAAAACCAGGGCAAACTTGTATAAAACCCCTGAGGCGCAAAGCAATTTGTGCAGCACAGCAGTGGCTTGGGCTGGAGCACGGCAGCATGTGTGTGGAGCTGTGTCCCATGGCGGTCAGGGCCAGGAAGGAGTCATGAAGATCATGGTATGGTTTGGGTTGGAAGGGACCTTAAAGACCATCTGGTTCCAGACCTCTTTTGAATGTTAACTTCCAGACATGGTAACTCAAGGAGTTGTAGGTACCGACCTTAGAGGTTTTAGGTATTAGGGAGGTAAATAGGTATTAGGGAGATTTTACTTGAAACCCCATGCAAGAATACTGCAGTGCAAATAAGATATGAAAGATTCCATGAGAATATTGTTAGTAAATGAAAGTGAAGACATTCATGACAAAAAAAATATTTAATTTTGCCTTTGAGATGGGAAAGAGATGGGCAGCTTTTAATAGTAGAAGCTCCCTTACCTGGTACATCAGCAGATCTCTGTGCTATCATGAAGGATGCAATATATCAGAATAGCGCTCCCTTTATTTCTCACCATTTACTAACAGGCAACTTTATAAATCTGTAAGGTATGAATAGACAAAGTTTTGATGTTTGCAATCCAATTTTGCTGAATTTTACCCTAGCAGCACAGCTTTCTAATGGTGATATTGCAAGCAAAATCTGAAACATTAAGTGGGGCCAGGCCTTGCAAACGTCAACTCATCCTCATAAAGGAGCACGCAGTAGATTTCTTAGAAATCTTCTGAGTAGATTTCTCAGTCTTCTGCAAGGTAAGTATTTTTCTTCATTTGTTCCCTTATTAGTTAACAAATGACCTCCCACAGCAGTTCAGAATGAGCACCGTATGCCATGTTGCTTGCTTTCTGCCTCAATATTTGCTTGAAGAAATTCTCTTAAGAGCAACTTAAACAGTTAACGGCTAATAAAAATTTTTTTTAGAATCTAAGAACTATTATACTTCTGAGAATGGTTATTTATAATGAGGTACATGTATTTGGAGACTGATAGGACTTTATTTTGCCATTTTAACTGTAAGTATGCCTTTAAAGCCACACAGGCAGGTGGTTATTTAGCAAAGTATATGTTTAAGTGACATTAAAACCAAATTCATATTAGCACACATTTCAGTGTTTTCCTGGATTTTCCCTTACACCGCATGCAGAGTAATTTAAGTTTGTAGTGTTTGATCTTCCGTTAATCAGTAGTAAGTTAATTAGTTATGATAATATGTTCTTCAATTGTGCCCTTTGTCCGATGCTTCCAAAAGTTATCAAACAAGATGAAAGAACATAGACTGAAATCTTGCATTCATTTCATCATCATCACCGTGTTCACACTGGGCAATTTTAGCCAACACTTTTGGATTTTCCTACTTTTGTAGCTGGCTAGTCTTCTGTTTTACAGTTTTCTCTGTAGGAAATCAATGTAAATCAAATTTACAGCTCTTCCCTTTGCAGCATAAGTAATGGGGTGTTTCTCTCCCACAGCTGACTGCAGATACCTGGTGGTAAGAGATATGCCCTCTTTGAACTTCTGCCTGGGGAGCTACAGGTGAATCTGACAGCCAGCCTGCTTCTCCATTGCATCTTACACAGATACACCATGCTCTTGTGTGAAGTATTCCCACATGTGACTTGTCAGTTTAGTGGTTTATGCCATTTCACTTGGACCAAACGGGTGCACAAGGCTCAAAGCAAAGACCACCAGGCACATTTTACCTCTGATCTTCCACCAGTCCTCACGGTGCTTGTGATGGATACAATGCTCTTCTATTAGAGAAATTTCAGAGGAAGAGAAAAGTACAGCAGAGCAGTGAGTGATTTCTGACATGTGAGATACTTCCCAGTATCACTGAAAAGGCAAAAGAGGAGGCTGGAGAGCCCCCTTGCACGTAAGGTTTGGGGATGCTGCAATGATGAGGTCTGGGAACCTAGTAAATTATTAGCTGCCCTTGGTTACTTTGATCTCAATTGCATGTGTCCTCATGTTGCAATCCATACAGTCAACATTAAATAGACCTTCATATAAAAACACTGAAAATCAACATAGAGAATGTAATGTCCTCTGTGGCTGTAAAGCCCATACAAAAGGAATATTCCTCTGCAGAGATGAGGGTGAGAAGGAATAATAATCAGTGTTTGAGAGGAAGTCTGGGAAGCAGGATCACCTGTACGTTATCAAGAAAAGACTAGTATTTCTCTGGTCCTGCAGGATGAGTTTCCTGATCTGTCACACAATGCTGATGCTGCTGGCATGATGCTTTTCCTGGAAGGAGCTGAGGCTTCTGTGTGGATGTTATCATCTGAAATATCACAGAAGCTTTAATTTTAAGAATTATTATATAATCAGAGAATCAGCTAGGTCAGAAAAGACCTTTAAGATCATCGAGTCCAACCTTTATTGTGCAGTTGATGATAAAATAAAACACCGGAAGTGTTTTCATTAGACAGTGAGCAGTGTCTAAATGCTTCCCTCTGTGCAGCAGCAAAATATTGGTTCCTATGGTGTATTGGGCAGATTTCTGTTGACTTGGGCACCATCATCATCAAAAATAAAACCACTGGAGCTCCCATGGCTCTTGTGAGGCAGGAAGCTGCTAATGCTGCAGCCATAAGAATTGGAATCATACAGAACAGACAGGTCAGAGTGGCATTGACCTTCACCTGCATAAGCATGCTTGTTTTCATGTGTAATAGACAAGCCCATTGTGCCTGCTACGTCCAAGATGTCATTATAACCTATCAAGTTGCAGCTAGTACAGTTGGTATAGTGCACAGTAATTCATCTGACTTCTCCTCATCTGTACAGATTAAACAGCGTCAGGATGCAATCACTGAAAATTGATCATCCACAGTATTAAATTATTAGAACATCTCTGTCAGTTTTGGTCTCTGCCAAAAATTCCTGGGCTGTTTCAATGATTAGTCCTGGCTAGGAACTATTCAAGTAGAGTTTGATGTGGTCACCTTGTTTTGGAGGCTAAGACAGTTGTACAGTATGGGTCACACCATGCCATAGGATCTCAGGAGCTGGATAGAGGCACTGTTACTAGTACAGAAGATAGCTTTACAGTCTGTATTTGAAACTTATCATATCACAGGCACTCATATTTGGCTGGTTTTGCTCAAACTGCAAACAAGCCCTTAAAAAAG